AGTTGGTCGGTGCGAGGACATTTTCCTAGGGCCACGTCACGCCCTGGATTGTCCTGGTCGCTGGACTCGACCATGGCCTTGGTCGAATCTGCAGCATCTGGTATTTTGGATGGCTGGTCGAGAGAAGGTTTTTCTTGTGTTTTGGTTTTAGATGAGGTGATAGGCTCAAAGGACTTGTCAGTGGCTTTGGTATGGGAAGCAGTGATTTGGCTGTTGGTTTTTTGCGAGGAGGATTGACTGATGTTAGTCTTAGAGGTGGTCGAGGCCTTTGTTGTCGAGGCCTTGGTGGTCGAGGCAGAGGCGGATGTGTGATGGGAAGTTTTTCTAGGAGGAGGTGGGGGGAGCTTGTCGATGCTGATGTTGTTTAGATGGTTGCTGTTTTTGTAGGTGTTTTTTCTGGGCTGGGGTTGTGGTTGAGGTTGCGGTGGCTTTTGTGGCTGTGGTTGTTGTTGTTGTTGCTGAGGTTGTGGCTGAGGCGGTGGCGGAGGTTGTTGTTGTGGCTCTGGGCGAAGAAGAGTGGTCGAACCCTCGACCTGATGAGCCTGATCGCCGGTGGATCCAGAGGTGGTCCCGGACTTTCTTAAGAGGAGTCTTCCTCAACGGGATGTTGAAACTAGGCACCTCTGCAAGAAAACAACAGAAAAATAAAAACCAACATAAACAAGACACACTCAGACAAGAAGCAAGAAAGTATGTAAATACCTGAGCAAACTGGTCGAAAATTACCTGGATCCTTCTCAATCCTAATCAGACTAAGAACTTCATCGGTGGGAGGAGAGAAGATCTTGTGGGTAAGTAAACCACAGTAATGGAGAAGGTTGTCGTTTTTTAGGAGAGAAATTGACGCAATGGGCTTGGAGTTCCAAACATGAATCCGTTGGTCGAAAAGGTGGTTAGGAGAAGGGTTCGTCATGTCCGCACTCTCTTGAGGAAGTTCCTTGAGCCAAGAAGAAGGGGCCCAAGGAAAAGGAGTATCGGGCTCGACATAGGCAAAAGTATAGGCCCCTTTGGGGATGTTGGAGGGGATGTCTGAGATAAAGTGGACGTTATTATGGCTCTTAAGGTAAAGGCCATGGGCCTGTTTTGAAGGGGCGTAGAAGTAATGAAAGAAGGCTAGATCGAACTGACCTAATCGAATACGAGATAAAATTATGAAGGTGGTCATGAAGCGAATGGCGTCGGGAGGAAGTTGATTTAAAGGGAGCCCGAACCACTTGCAGATGTAGAGTAGATCGGGGCTGAGAGGAAAACGGATGTCGAGGTCGAATTGGATTTTGAAAAAAGTGTAGCAGTTGGAAGGAGGGCGATCATAGGTATCGGAGGGAGAATGGCGATATAAGCCCCAGCTAGCATGAAGACCAACTTTGTCAGCCTCTAGCCAGTTGATTGAATGAGAGGCAGAGGGAGTAGATTTGGAGACCTTGGTCGAGGATTTCTTGGGTGGAGAGGTGGATGTGTTAAGCTGAGAAGAAGAAGGACAAATGGTCGAAGATGCAGGGAAAGTAGGCTGGGAAGAAGTGACCTCGTCCTCCTTTGGCTCATCTAACGAGCCAAAGGCAGGTCGACGACGGCGGAGGGGAATGTTATCCATGGTATCCCCAGAATTAGAGAAAGAAACGCGGGTTGTAAAATGATGGTGGGAATGGTTTCACGGGGGCGAAGAATGGAGAGAGGAACAACTTCGAGTGCAGAGGGCAATACTTGAACTGAATCAGAGGAGGTGGTCGAAGTAGAAGAATCTGAAAAAACAAAAAAAAAAGAACAATATCAAAAAGGGAAATTTCGACGAAAAGAAAAGGAGGAGATGGGAAGGTTTTCAAAGCAAGGGTTTTTCTGGGAGGGAGCGATTCTGAAAAATCGAAAGAGGAAAGAACATGAAGTTCAAAAAATTGGAGAGGAAAAGCAAAATTCACAATGATCAACAAACAAATCACAATGTTTAGAGCACAGATTCAGGATAAAATGCGCAAATCCAGAAAATTTAACAAGTAAATTCGAAATACCCAACACGAAAAAAAAAATCAAAGAGCAGGCAAATTTGAAACACATGAAATGTAAATTCAAGCGAGGAACAACTTACTCATAGTCGCAGATGAAGAAATGGAGGAAGCCGGAAGAGAGCAAGAGAAATCGCCGACAAAGAAAGCAAGAGTTACAGGGAAAGCTCAGAGTACAAAGAGTTCGAAAATTGCAAAGGTGGAAAAACTCAAAAAATCCGCTAAGTGTTGAATTTATACCTTGGAGAGTTGAAGGGTTGAAAGATGAGAGCCGTTGGATTAAAGCCAGATCTTACGGTGGAGAGCATTAACTCACACGACGCTCAAAGTAGGCGCGTTATGCGAAGAGGTGCAATAATTAAAGCGGCTGACAGGTATGACGCGTGGCAGAAAAGCAGGCGCGACAGAAAGCACGTGTGACAGACAACTTTATTGCTGGCAATTAAAGAAAAATTAATTGAAAAAATGGGCGGAAAACTCACTATGTGGTCGATATCTGACATCATGCAATCCAGGAAAGCGATGAGCACAAATCACTCTTAGATCGAGTCATCCAGACTCGACCAGAGTGGGG